GTGACCACTGACACACAGGTTACCTGTTTAGAGCTGTGAGTGCCTTGCCCAAGTGACAGTGCGAATGTCATCGTGATCATCCTAACTGCAAAGGAAGAGTCTTTAAGCTTCCACTGCTGTCATGGATACCTTTATCTTCATCGCCAGCAAACGAGCAGTCATAGCTTGGTTCATTTCTCCCCACTGCCCCCACCCCCTCCCTTACCACCCACACCGCCCCCTCCCTCCCCCCCCAATACCCAACAGAAACTATTTTGCCCTTATTTCTAATTTTGTTGTAGAGAGAGTATAAGCAATAATAGGAAGGAACAAGGGTTTTTGCTGGTTGAGATAAGGATAGCTATACAGGGCATTGACTCACATTGATCTCCTGTGCGTGGGTGTTACCTTCTAGGTTAATTCTTTTTGGTCTAACCTTTTCTCTAGTACCTGGTCCCCTTTTCCTATTGATAGCTCTAGATTCTTAACCAGCTCCCCAGCCGCAACACTGCAAGATCTAAGTCTGTTCCAAAACTGCGTCCAAAATTATCGCTCTTTCCTGCACGAGGAACGGCAAGCAAAATTTGGGAAGTGCCTCCAGCAGCCTGCACGCACAACGGGCCCCCTCCCTTCCTCTGGGACCAGACATAGGACTCGTCCACTTGGCTTCAAGTAAGAGACGTGTTTGGTTACGAGACCAAATTCTGCCTCAAAGTAGGGGGCTCCGCTTCTTCCGGAAATAGAAAAAGGCCTCGCTCAAGGGCAAAGGCAGGGCGATACAGCCAAGGAGGCCTTTTGCGCCACAACTTCGCGGTGGCCCGAATGGCTGCCCGCTTTGGACCACCACGTTTGTGGCACGGTGGGATGGGTGGCGGCCTAACTCTTGGGGACTCAAGGGCCCCTGCCCCACAGCGGACCCTCAAGATGGCTGCGCCTCCCTTAAGAGGAGGCTCCTAAGCGTGGAGGACAGGGGCACTCGCCCGGGCGTACCTTGCAGCAGACTCTGCTGCTGTGCGTAATAGGCCGGCTGCCTCCTCCTCCGGAAGAAGGCTAAAACCCGGTTCAGAAGTCGCATCATGGTGCTGTCACCTCCTGCCTCCAAGTTGTACCACGTGGCCTTCTCTGTCGCACGCCCTCGAGGCACAGAGACCGGTCTGTCTGGGTCCGGGTAAGCCTGGAGCAGCGCAGCGCCAGCCACGTGCAGACAACGTAAGTGACGGTGCTAGAGCGGCCTCCAGGCCAGCCCGTGCCACAGCGCCACCAGCTGGGCTCCCAGCTTCCCCGTCAGTTCCCCTCTCCTAGGCTGCTACAGAGCCCGCCTCTTCCTCTCACCAGCCAATGACGGTGCTCCCAGTGGTCACGTGGCCCTCCATGGGCCATAAAAGGCAGTAGGTGGAGTAGCTGGGGAAACATGGCTCCTCCTATTTAGCCTGGAGGCTTCTTGGTTCCCGGTGGAGCCTGGGTGGGGCTTGTGCCCTGGCTGTGCAAACCAACCGCCAAAATCCAGCATGAGGCCGAACGTAAGGACTGGTCACACAGGCGGACAGTCTGCGGTTTCTCTCAGCATGGAGGTAATGTGTGTGTGCTTGACGTCCTGTGCTTGTGCTTCATTTTAGGGATGGCGAGTCCTTCTGTTTCATATTATGGCGTCCTTTATCATTTGCAACGGTAACTTACCATAGAATTCCTTCACAATTATGCCTACCACTTACTCCTTGTTTAAAACGCCTAAATACTCCAGCCAATTACTCTGCTATACCTACTGCATCATTGCATTTATTCACTGATTTAATAAATGTCTGTTGAGGACGGACCGTGAGTCAGACGCCTTTCTTATGGCTTGGAATTAATCAGTGCACAAAAGACACAAGAATATTGGCCTGCTGGAGGTAACTTTCTCACAGGAGGAAAAGGGACACGAGAAACACAACAAATAATGAAATACCTTATATGTAGGGAGGCTCAAAATGGTTTGGAAAAATACTGCAGGGCAACGGAACCTATAGTTGGCAAGGGGGGTCTGGATTGAATTTTGCAGTATGGTCATGGGGTTTCCCAATAGATGAACAATGCTGTTTTAGGGGGGGCAACTCCATTAAGGAAGCAGCCTAGGCAGACTTAAGTGTGTACGTGATGTTTTGAAGCGAAACCTATGTAGTTGGGTCAGAAGGAGTGAAATTGCTGGGCTGTGTAGTTTTTACTCCTTAAGTTTCAGGGTTTCCCAGAAAAGGATGGAGACCAGTTAAAGACAAGATTGAGCGTGTACAGCCAGTTGCAGGAAGATTGAGGGAGATAAATGTTTTATTTTGTTTTGTATACCTTTGAACATTGTAATATAGATACACTGTGGGTGCCAAACTTTGGTGCTAGGACTTTATGCCTGGGAGCCAGGATCTAGACCTGTGTGGGCATCAACAGCAAGGTCTCTAGAAAATGGCTTGGGGAATGAACCCCTGGTGTGCTCAGGCTGTTTTTTTTGGGGGGGTGGGCGTTGGGGATTTTCTGGGAAAATTAAGCAGAGGTCTGGGTTGGGAGGTGTGGCAGAGCCTGCCCCAGGCTGTATAAACAAAACTCCAGCATGAGGACCAGCCACACAGTGGGTGCTCACTACTCTTCAGGAGGGCTCTTATGGCGTCCTGTGGGCGGATCACATTTTAGGGACGTTGAGTACCTGTCTTTTGTACTAGGACTCCCTTTATAGACCCTACTAGTAATTTATCACAGAATTATTTGATGATCGTCGCTATCACTTATCCATTGTTATTACGCCAGTTACTCTGCTGTATTTACTCACTTAGTAAATACTTGTTGGCTACTGACTATGAACCAGAGACACAGCTCTGGGCACTTGGAATTAGAGAATAAAGCCGGAAATTAGCTTGGTCCTGCAGTGGCAATTTTTGCACAGCAGGTGGGGGAGGGTGGGAAGCACAGCCTCTCTGAAGGGAGAAAAGCATCACCACTAGTGACATACTTGGTATGTTGAAAGATAATGAACACAAGGGAACCATGACAGAGTGAGGAGTTCCAGGGGCTGCAGAGGGAGCTGGATTGCATTTTCAAATAGTGTGTCAGGGTAGGCATCCTTAGCGAGCAACAGAAAGAGGTCTTGCTTTAGCCAGGAGCCGTGTGGAGGAGGAACGCTCTGGAAATACGGAGCAGCCTGTGCACAGAATGTGAGGAGAGAGTTGTCTGATGCGTTCAAGGAAAAGTTGAGTGAGCACAGCAGAGGAAGTGAGAGGTAGAAGAGTGGGAAATGTGAAGGTGGAGGCCGGCTGTAGGGAACCAGGCTGTGTAGGACACCATAAGTTCTTTGGCTTTTCCTGTACATGATGTGTAAAGTCCCAGAAGGATTTGGAGTCCTAGAGGGGTCCCTCTGGCTCTTGGTGGAGAGAAGGCTCTAGGGGGCCCGAAACATGGAGCCAGGAGCCCTACTGGGAGGGACCTGCTGTTGCCTATGACTGCTGTGCGTCAAATCTGTAGGTCGCGTTTCTGCTGCAGGGAGAAGAGGCCTCACAGGTGCAAACAGTGATCATCATTTAAGTTATTAAGTTAAGTTATTTAGGATGATATCTGAATATTCCAGCTAACTTTTCACTGTCAGAGAAACTTCCACTGTGTACTACTTAAAGTGCTTGATTTGCCAGTAAAGTGCAAAATTATTTTAAGGAATAAGCCTATGAAATGAGACAACCGTGTAAACAGTTTGTGGGTTTTTTTAGTACTCTGAATTTCTTTCTTCTTCACACTTAGGTTGTATCTATATTACAATGTTCAAAGTTATACAAAACAAAATAAAACATTTATCTCCCTCAATCTTCCTGCAACTGGCTGTACACGCTCAATCTTGTCTTTAACTGGTCTCCATCCTTTTCTGGGAAACCCTGAAACTTAAGGAGTAAAAACTACACAGCCCAGCAATTTCACTCCTTCTGACCCAACTACATAGGTTTCGCTTCAAAACATCACGTACACACTTAAGTCTGCCTAGGCTGCTTCCTTAATGGAGTTGCCCCCCCTAAAACAGCATTGTTCATCTATTGGGAAACCCCATGACCATACTGCAAAATTCAATCCAGACCCCCCTTGCCAACTATAGGTTCCGTTGCCCTGCAGTATTTTTCCAAACCATTTTGAGCCTCCCTACATATAAGGTATTTCATTATTTGTTGTGTTTCTCGTGTCCCTTTTCCTCCTGTGAGAAAGTTACCTCCAGCAGGCCAATATTCTTGTGTCTTTTGTGCACTGATTAATTCCAAGCCATAAGAAAGGCGTCTGACTCACGGTCCGTCCTCAACAGACATTTATTAAATCAGTGAATAAATGCAATGATGCAGTAGGTATAGCAGAGTAATTGGCTGGAGTATTTAGGCGTTTTAAACAAGGAGTAAGTGGTAGGCATAATTGTGAAGGAATTCTATGGTAAGTTACCGTTGCAAATGATAAAGGACGCCATAATATGAAACAGAAGGACTCGCCATCCCTAAAATGAAGCACAAGCACAGGACGTCAAGCACACACACATTACCTCCATGCTGAGAGAAACCGCAGACTGTCCGCCTGTGTGACCAGTCCTTACGTTCGGCCTCATGCTGGATTTTGGCGGTTGGTTTGCACAGCCAGGGCACAAGCCCCACCCAGGCTCCACCGGGAACCAAGAAGCCTCCAGGCTAAATAGGAGGAGCCATGTTTCCCCAGCTACTCCACCTACTGCCTTTTATGGCCCATGGAGGGCCACGTGACCACTGGGAGCACCGTCACTGGCTGGTGAGAGGAAGAGGCGGGCTCTGTAGCAGCCTAGGAGAGGGGAACTGACGGGGAAGCTGGGAGCCCAGCTGGTGGCGCTGTGGCACGGGCTGGCCTGGAGGCCGCTCTAGCACCGTCACTTACGTTGTCTGCACGTGGCTGGCGCTGCGCTGCTCCAGGCTTACCCGGACCCAGACAGACCGGTCTCTGTGCCTCGAGGGCGTGCGACAGAGAAGGCCACGTGGTACAACTTGGAGGCAGGAGGTGACAGCACCATGATGCGACTTCTGAACCGGGTTTTAGCCTTCTTCCGGAGGAGGAGGCAGCCGGCCTATTACGCACAGCAGCAGAGTCTGCTGCAAGGTACGCCCGGGCGAGTGCCCCTGTCCTCCACGCTTAGGAGCCTCCTCTTAAGGGAGGCGCAGCCATCTTGAGGGTCCGCTGTGGGGCAGGGGCCCTTGAGTCCCCAAGAGTTAGGCCGCCACCCATCCCACCGTGCCACAAACGTGGTGGTCCAAAGCGGGCAGCCATTCGGGCCACCGCGAAGTTGTGGCGCAAAAGGCCTCCTTGGCTGTATCGCCCTGCCTTTGCCCTTGAGCGAGGCCTTTTTCTATTTCCGGAAGAAGCGGAGCCCCCTACTTTGAGGCAGAATTTGGTCTCGTAACCAAACACGTCTCTTACTTGAAGCCAAGTGGACGAGTCCTATGTCTGGTCCCAGAGGAAGGGAGGGGGCCCGTTGTGCGTGCAGGCTGCTGGAGGCACTTCCCAAATTTTGCTTGCCGTTCCTCGTGCAGGAAAGAGCGATAATTTTGGACGCAGTTTTGGAACAGACTTAGATCTTGCAGTGTTGCGGCTGGGGAGCTGGTTAAGAATCTAGAGCTATCAATAGGAAAAGGGGACCAGGTACTAGAGAAAAGGTTAGACCAAAAAGAATTAACCTAGAAGGTAACACCCACGCACAGGAGATCAATGTGAGTCAATGCCCTGTATAGCTATCCTTATCTCAACCAGCAAAAACCCTTGTTCCTTCCTATTATTGCTTATACTCTCTCTACAACAAAATTAGAAATAAGGGCAAAATAGTTTCTGTTGGGTATTGGGGGGGGAGGGAGGGGGCGGTGTGGGTGGTAAGGGAGGGGGTGGGGGCAGTGGGGAGAAATGAACCAAGCTATGACTGCTCGTTTGCTGGCGATGAAGATAAAGGTATCCATTGACAGCAGTGGAAGCTTAAAGACTCTTCCTTTGCAGTTAGGATGATCACGATGACATTCGCACTGTCACTTGGGCAAGGCACTCACAGCTCTAAACAGGTAACCTGTGTGTCAGTGGTCACAACACCACTATGGAGAGAAATTGCCATTGCACTCAGCTAACAGGTGACAAAATGGTCAGAGAAGTTAAGAAATGTGCTCAGGGCTGCACAGGAGGCCAGCACTGAACTTATTTGTAGTGAGTGCTTGCATTTGAGATTAGCTAATGGGACCTTCGTTTACCTCTGCCATAGGCAGCACCTACTTGCACACTATACGGGGAGTTGTGACATCTCTGTGTCCTGATCATGGCTGGATTGATGACTGCATCTTCTTCCATAATGTTGCCGTGACTGGCAACGTCCCACTGAGAGTTGGACAGCAAGTTATTGCGGTTGTGGAAGAAGAAGAAACAGCTCACAGATTGGAAGCAATCAAAGTAAGGTTGAGTTCAGGGAGAGCCTCTTCAATATTCTTTCTGGGATTAATTCAAGGCGCCACTGACCTGTCCAGTGGACGTAGAGTCAGAGTTGACGCCCCATTCCCGTGGGCCTACAGGTTCTTCTGTTCTGATATTTTTGGGGATTTTCCTACCTATACTTAAAGGTGGTTTGTCAGTTCTAGTATGTAAACAATATGACGAACTAACGCTGTAACTTCCATATCTCCGGTAAAACAAATGTTTTTCCAAAAGTATGTATAAAAAAGCATAGTTAATACGCCAAACAATGTGCATTTTCTGCATTTTATCATACTTTTATTGAAGAATAATTGACATAACAGAAAGTTCTAAGAATACGATTTAATCACGCTTTGAAGATTTGCAGAGTTCTGTAAACACCTCAGTCCAAATGTGTACCATGTAAAGGGTTATTACCAAATTAGTTTTTAGCTACACTCTCCTAATTGATTCTTCCAGCAACAGGCTGCAGAACAACCTGTTTGAAAAGGACTTGCATGTTATTGATCTGAAATCACTTAAAAAATGAGAAGTGAAGAGCTGTCTCAGAATTTTATTTTGAATTTCAGAATGTCTTAATGACAGTAGAGCTTTTTCTCTTCTTCAAACTATCTGTGTAGAAGAGATCTCAGCTCTTTCCATGTTAGCAGAAGCGAGGTCTTTATCAGGAGAAGTAGTAGATGTAGTCCTCATGTTATCTCCCCCAATAGTCTATATGTTTGTTTTATGTGTATCTTTCGTATCATATCAATATGTCAGTCTTGTCCATTTGGTTTTTGGCTTTAGCAAGAATCCTTAGGCTAATTGCAGTTCATAATTCACACAAATACTCACTTTCTCTTCTGAAAGTTGTTCATTTACTTTTTTGCATGGAACCATTCGGTCAGCCTGCATTTGATTTAGGTGTGCTGTCTTGAGAGAAGGATCCATATCTTGTTTTGCTGAAGGCTGTCTAGTCACTACTTACCATGAATTGTGTAATCCACATCTCCCCTTTTGATGGGGAAGGCTGTCTGTCTCATACAGTCGTTTCTCTCAAACCTTTGAATCTGTCTGCATTCCCTAGCATGCTAGCGGTGTTTGCAAGGGCAAAGAAAGGGAACTGGCAGAGTGTGGGTGGAGGGGATGACAGGGAAGCTGGGGGGGGGGATGTTGAGTGTGCAGGATGGCCGTGCGCTGGAATGCAGTCAGGGCACAGAGAGGTCAGCAGTTGTGACGGACACCGAGCACCGAGCAGGCAGGAGGCGTGATGGATCATCCACTAGGATGCTGACAGAGGTGGCGGTGGATAGACGGACAGGAGCCTGGTGCTTCACTCCTAGTTGAAGTGAAGCAGAGGCAAAGGCCCTTGAGATTGGTATTGGCCGCTGGAAAGACACCAGTTGAGAAATAGTAGTAGCTATGAACTAGGCTTTGAAAAAGCCCTGAGCACACCTCGTACCACAGTGGCCCAGGAATGCATCGGAAATCTTCTGACAAGAACTGTTACTCCTAGGACTCTGTACCGCAGAAACGCGTGAGCTAGGTAGGCAGTGTATTACACAGGATGCCAACTAAACGCCAGACTTTGTGGAACTGGGCCACTTAAATACGGGACATTCGTTCATTGGAATGCCGTATTAGCCTTTCGGTGATCTCTTGTCTTCTAAAAATGTTTGTGACCTCCCCGTGATACTTTAACACTACATGCAGAGTTAATTCTTTTTTCAAACTTGGCATGCGTGTTTGTGGGAGGGGGAAAAAAAGAAATATCTGGCACACGGTAAATAGCAAAGAAGTAGTCAGCGGCTTTCTGGATTTTATGGGATGTGAGTAATCGTTTTCTGCTTTGTGCTCACGTCTTTTCTTCTTCTTTTTCTATGATGAACATGCATTATACGTGTAATGAAGAAAATTTTAAAATAAGTCCATTACTTCTGATAAGCCTCCATATGGGCTCCCATCTTTCATTGATTAATTCAGCCCTCACGTGACTCGTCTTTAAAATCTCTTCCCACTGTGGTGAGCTCTCCAACGTCAGTCACGTCATGGCTCTGTCCCCCAGTCCTGGACCTTGGGTAGATGGTGTTCCTCCCATTTCTCCTAAAGGGTTCTTGTTGTTCCCGTGTCCCTCCCTGCTCTGCCCCCATCCCCATCTACCAGGTGACTTCTTTCTCTTCTTTCACACACAGTTCAAATGCCACTTCCTCCAAACAATGATCTTATTTTCACTCAGTGTAAAAATTTTTCCTCCCGGAAAAGATTTTGAAACTTGATTGTCACAAGTTGCTTAGAGGTAGGTATCTTCCCGTAATACCCTCCAAAAATTGGTACTCCTAAAAGGTGCAGCCTCCCACGAGGACGTCAGTTAATGCTTATTAGAGAAAAACATTTTGTGATGTACTTAAGCCTCCGTGGGAGAGGTGCGGCCCATCTGCAGACACGACTCGGGGGGTGAACCCGGAGCTCTCATTATATCTTGTAGGTTTACGTGCATTAGACCTAGATGTGCAGTTCACGCTTTGAGTGCAGTTTAGCAATCTGTGAAGCAAGCGCAGACATCATTTTTACCCTCCTCTCATGACCGTGATGTATTGGTCACATGAAATGTATGGGCTAGCGTTGAGGAGGGTTCCATAGACTGTTTCTTGAACACCAGTGGGGTTCACAGTGATGGGTAGTGGCTGCTTTTGCTTCGAGTAATGAAGCCCTTTGTGTCTGACGGGGGAACCCGGTATCTTGCAAGCATCCACAGGACGGTGACAGGCCAACTTACCAAATTGTAGTTGTTTTGATAGGGATTCCCCGGAATCATACAGGCTCCCGTTTTAAGTCTTTCTTTGGTGTGATGTAACTGTCCCCTTATCTTCCAGGTGGAGCCTTTCTCCCATCCCTTTGATTGCAATGGGCTATCAGGCCTCAGAACTCGACTTTTGATTAGTTGTGTCACTGCTGTGACAAGCGATGCTGTCTACATTAGTAATGACACTTACTTCTCCATGGACATTGTTTCTGAAGGTACGAGTTACATTTTTAGAGAAATGCAATACGAGAACTGAAATTGCTGTGATCAATTTGGTCTGAGTTATCAGCTCTTGAGTCCGCAGTTTGGAATGGAAGGTAATGGTACAGGGACACATAGGAGATGTTTATAAAAAGTCTTTCTGTCATTTCTCATATGTGAATGCAACCACTAAAGAGTGTCAAAGTTCTTTGTTATGCAGGTATTTCATCTCTAGACATTGAAAACAGCCTTCGTGTATTCTATTTTTAAATTAAGACTCCTTTTACTTTTCACTATTTCATGTGAACATTTTCTGTTTATATACTTATTTTTCACATATTTAATGTATCTCACCATGACATTTTCATACATACTCATCCCGCATTACCTCTCATCACTCCCCAGGGTTGCTATTTCAACATAGGTCAAATGCTTCAAAAGAATGTTGCAGGTGACCTTATGGTTCTCTCTCTCTCCCTCTCTGCCTTCCTCTTCCCCCATCTTTTTTTTCTTTCTCCCCATGCAAGTGTGTGTGCTTGCACATATGCACATTGTGGAATTATGTTAAGGGTGAGCATATATTCTGTAAGAGTTTGTCTGTAGCTAAAGCTGTAAGGGCAGGTAAGAAGTTAAATTCAGTGCTCCTCCTGTGTACTTGACTGCCTTGCGTCAAGGATTTGTGAATGTGACCTAAGTGAAGAGGTAATTGTTCCAGTTTTCCTTTGGCTGTTTTAGGGTTTGTGCCTTACAAGGGTGACTGGATCCAAGTTGAATACTCCACCCAGCCTGGCACCTCAAACATCATCGCACACTCGTTGAAGCCCACTAACTGTAGTCATATTGATGAGGTAATTGGACTCCGTGTCACGCTTGTCATTAGTTTGTGACAGTTCTTCCACAGTAATCATTTTCTTGCCCAGGGTTCGTAGTTTTTGTCAGTAGTGGGGATTCTTCTCAGAGTTTTCGCATTTGCTAGGCAGGTTCTCTATTGCTTGAGCCACACCCTCGGCCCCGTTTCCTCTAGGCAGTTTGCAGATGGAGTCTTGCGTTTAATTCCAGGGCTGGGCTGGTCCGCGTAGCCTGGATGAGGGCATACCACCTGCCACGTTCAACTTTTTTCACTAGCTGAGATGAAGTCTCATGCACTTTTTCCCCAGGGCTGGCCTCGAACTTTGATCCTCCCATTGTCTCCCTGCCTCCTCTCGAGTAGCTAGGGTTGCAGGAGGGAGCCACCATGCCTGGCTGTGCCCAGGATTCTGTTGGTGTGGCTACAATTGTAGAAGACACATTCCTTGCCAAAGAGGAGCCTATTTGCTTATTGAAGTGGAAAAACTTCCAATAGGAAGTAAGGTAGAACACACAGGTACTTAATTTCTACGTTATGTAGGGTTTTTTGTTGTTGTTGTTTGTTTTTTGTATCGGATGTTCTGCAAAAACAGGTAGAAAAAACAATTTGTGCACAAGAAAGGTGTGAGGAAAGACGGAACGAAGCGGGTGTGAGTCTTGAGCTTACCGAAAAAGCTGGGTAGCGACTTGGGTAGTGCAACCTGAGAATGAGGGGGAGTTCAATGGAAATAGAGCAGTGTTACCCACTGTGGGTAATGTTCGGAGCAAGGCTTCCCGTGAGAGACCCAGGGCCCATCCGCAGAGATTCTGCCATACTCGGTGTGAGGTGGGCCCTGGCACCGGTGTGTTCACAGAGCACCCCTGGTGTTGCCAGTGTGCCGGGGCAGGTTGGGAATCGGCGGAGGGTGGAGCGCTCGGCAGGACTGAGCCATGGTGAGAGGTGCTGGGCCCGTTGGGATGATTATGTTTTCTAAAACCGTGTCTGTCCTTTCTGTCGCAGGTCTACATCAGTAACATGCACGGAAGTCAAGGGGTGATAGACGACGCTATCTTTTTCACTTTGGATTCTCTGAAACTTCCTCCTGGATACGTTCCTCAATTACATGACCTTGTCGATGTTGGTCATAGTGGAGAGCGCTCAGTCCTGCTATACCTGGAGAGCGGTTTCCATGACCCCAGTGCAAATGTCGCAGTAGCCAAGCCTCTTCTTGCCTGTTCCTGTTCACTTGTATGGGCCTAGGAGGCCTGGCGTAATGGCAAAGTTTACGTTAGGAACCATATAGAATATCTTAACTAGGATTTCCCTGTAAACGTAGGGAGCTTGAGACCGCGAGCCGACTTTAGGGAAGTACATTATCAATTGGAAAGCACATAGACCTGGCTTTTGATTGTAGGAAAGAAACGACACTGCCATTGGGTTAAACTCCTTGTTTCCCATGGCCGGTTGTGAATTCTGTGCTGGCGGTGGCCTGGGTTGCCCAGGAAGTAACCTGCAGGGACAAAGCGGCTAAATTGAGCCACGGCCCCGCATGTTCACGGCCTGATTTAAAGTTGCAGCGTGCCTGCGGTTTTGAGTCCCCCTTAGGCTGTGTGCGCGGTGTCCAATTGCCCACGGCCTTTGACATCTGTCACCTACTCGGTTTGTTATTTACCATTTACTTGTGACCTTCCTCCCATGTTACCATGTAAGTGCCGTAAGATAGGGTGCTTTCAGGTTTGTGTGAATGTGGGGCAAGTGGTGTCGTTACTCCACCAGCAAGCACTTAGGATCGTGCCTGGTAGCGCCTAACAGGTTACAAGTTCAATAAATGGATTATGTGAGCATCAGTAGCGTACCTTGCCGTTAATTCATCATTCCATCCCTATGAGTCAATGGGTCAGCCTCCCACGAAGGCCTCAGTTGACCCTTAAAGAGAAGCACCGCCACATGGGGTACTTAAGCCTCCATGGACCCCCCTTGTGGGAGAGGTGCAGCTTGTCTGCAGACCCGAATCACGGGGCAAACCCAGAGCCCCTTGCAGGAAGGGAAGTTGCCTGCCCATGGGGAAGGAGCTTACCAACGCCCCACACACGGACTCCATGAAACTGCTTGCTTTCCTTAACAGAGCATTGAACCAGGAGCCGTGTCTGGTTTTGGAGCTGTTGGCGTCCCCGGAACCTGGCTGTGAGCTCAGCGGCAGGCCTTGGATTCCTAAGTCTGCCATAAGCTCCTGGTCCCAAGTCAACTGAGCTGAGTTTTCAGTTTGCTTTAGCGATCTTGGGGGTACTTCCCAATCACCCAGTGTTTAGTGCACCACTTTATAATAAAGGAAGCCAGAGGAGGGTGACCTCGCAAGTTTGGGCTTTTGCTCATTGTTTCACTCCACGCGTTCAGTTTTGCCACCTAAGTGTCAGGAACTGTTGCAGACACTGGAACTAAACCCAAACAGCAATATCAGGGCCTTAATGGAACTTGGCTTCTGTTACTGTCCCCTGGTCTTCCTTACCTGGGAAACTGTAGGTCCTAGGGAGGCAGGGCAAGTGGGAGCTGGGGCAGGTCCAGATTCCTGTGAAAGGAACGTCCCTCCCAAGCAGGCCACGCTCCCTGGGAGTCTCAGAGACGGCCACCTTTGGACCTGAGAGACACATGGCCTTGTGCTCCAACCATCTCCCATTTCCTTGTCCAGCTTGGCTGGTGTGAAAGAGTTCTCTGGGAGCCACCTTGGGTATGGTCAGCGGGATCAGGTGTGACTCAGTCAAGGCGGCTGTTTGTCAGAGGACCTCCCTGGACTGAGGGAATCACTCAAGTGGCTCCGGTGCAAGCTGATGGGGAATGTGTAAATTTCCTTCCTCTTTGTAGCTAGCACATCCCAGAATCCATGTGCTTTCTTCGGGGACAGGCCCAGCAGAGCTGCACTCTGCATACTTTTTTGATTTGTTGTGTGTGTTGGGGGAGGAATACATCAACTCTGAGGCTCTTGGCCATTATTTGGAAGGCAGGCTCCTTAATCATGTCACCCTGTGGTGGCAGGTCACATTGTTTTCCATAAAAGTCCCTGGGAACAGTGAGTTTGGAGCTGGTTTAGACACGTACCTTGTACAGCGGGACAAAAATGATATGAAAAGGTGAGGATCTGTGACCATGAGCCTGTGAGTCTCCATTGTTCCCAGGTCGAGCTTACACATGCCATTATGGGAATGGGGTGCAGAAAAGTGCTGATGTATAGTTGCTCCTTTGGATACCACTCTGCAGGAGGGAACTAAGACAATGATCTTGAGCAGAAGTTGGCACACAGGCCTTACTGCCTGAAATGAGTCTTGAAAATGAAGTTCCGTTAAAAAGAAAGTGGAACCTGTTCAGGGCCCAATTCACAGTGTTTTCTGGGCTGGTCTCCACAATTATGGATGGTGTTTTGAGTAGGGGTGCTTGAAGTATCTCATTCTGATTGAGTTTCAACTGTTAGTGCTTGTGTTGCTAATGGCTTCTAGCTTATCCTTTCGCATGAGAAATTTGAGTCCCGTCTCTTCCTAAAGGGGTGTTTTGTGAGTGCAAAGGACCGTGTTTGTCATGCTCAAGAACTGGTCTCTGTGGGTGCTATTTCTTCCTTCTATGAAAGCGAAGAAGTGTGTTTTGCATGTGCAGTGTACAACTGCACAGATTGAGAGCACACGTCTGACACAGGCCTGGCCTCAGAAGGGAGCCTCCCTACTCACACGGATGTCCGGAAAATGGACAAGAAGGAGGCGTAGGGGCCTTAATGTGCAGGTGTGCCCTAGAGAGGAGCAGAGGTGCACAACCTTCCCGCTGCGTCCCCCAGCCACGCACCAGGTGCGGGCTGTAATCTGACAACCCGGAGTCTAGCAATGCAGTGGGAGCGTACCCCCTGTGGGAAGTTACTACGGCCTCAGTGTCCCCAAGTCTCCCAAGCGGACATCACGCAGTATGGAGTACCGGGAGGGATCGGCTGGCCTCTCTTTGACCCTGTCACCCAGTCACAAGGCCTAGAGAAGGACTTTCCCACAGCCGCTGGCTCCATTGGTCTGCTCCCGCAGACCTAAGCTGCACGTGCAGTACGCGGGACCACGTGGGCCCCGCTACGCACCTGGCTGAGGCAGACGGAGGAGGCTGGGTTGAGGTCACCGCTCAGAGCGAGGCCAGGAAGAAGGCCCAGCGAGCCCTGTGTGGCAGTGGGCACGGGACATTGAGGAGTGAGTCCGCAGCGAGACTCAAGAGAGCCCAGAGCTCCCCCACCCCGCCCCCCCGGAGGCCGGAGAGGGGCGACTCCCCTCCCACCCAGAAGGGGTCGCAGGGTGTGAGTGGGCTGGGGGTGGGGGGGGGGGGGGAGTGCCGTCTCTCTGTCCTGAGGCGCCACCTCCCTGGTCTGGCTTCCTCAGCCAGGACCCGTGTGTGGTCCGCAGCTGTCCTGGCACCGTGAGCCGGGCGGGGGGGGGGGGGGGACAGTAACTGGGGGCTTCCAGCCCTGGCCAGGCCCGGACGGTGAAGGAGCTGCGAGCCCCTGCTAGCCTGTGGGACTGGGCAGAGGTAGAAGCCACAGGGCGCCAGGCCCGGGCTCGGACTCCCTCGCGAGGCGGATGGGGGGCTCCCTTCCCCCAGGGGCCTGAGCAACCCGCCTTCTTCCCGCCCTGCACAGGTGGCGCGCTCCGTTTCCCTCGCAGACGCGGACAGAGCGCCGAGCGCCAGGCCGCCGGGCGGGCGCCGGTTCTGTGAGGAGCGAGCGAGCGGGAGCAGGAGGGCGCGACGCGAGCTCCTCCTTTGCTCCTCGTCGCGTGCGCAGCCAGGGGGCGCCTTGATCAGGCCTGGTCTCCCTCGACCTGGGCGCTGGGTGCGCGGAGAGCGCGACAGGCAACAGGTCCCTGTCAGCCCCTCGGGGGGAAGGAGATAGGAAGACCTGCAGCGGCGGGCCATTCCGCGTGGTCGCTGGGGCTGTGGCGCGGAACACCCACAGGAGGCACAGAAGGGCCGGGAGGACCCCAGTTCTCCGAGGGAGGGGGAGGGCAGGGGCTGCGGACCCGGGGTCACGAGGTGTCGCGGTAGGGGCCTGGCGGGGGGCGCTGTGGGTGGAAGAGACCTGCGGGCAGGCCACTGGCATTCCTGTGAGCCCCGTCCCTGAGGGAGCTACCCGCGAGCAGGTGCGTGAGGCCGGGCCTCCTCAGAGCAGAGCAGAGCGGGGAGGAGCCCCCTTCGG